ATCGGCACTTGAACAGCCTTGTGGAACAAATTAATTTCGTATCCCAAGGTACCACTGTATTGCTAATATTAACTCTACAGCTTATTTGTTTATCACAACTGATCTAATATGACATAATAAACAATATAAATAACATAGAAACCTGATATATACTCTAGAATGAATAAAATATGTCATTGTGTGACAAGTAGAGGCAGCCATAACCGCTCCCGCATTGTTGTGGTATTCACTGCCATCTAGTGACGGCCTGACGAAGCCATCTATTATTATTATTATTATGATTATTGTAATGGGAAAGCTCTTGTGGGGGGGAGGGGATGGAAGGTATTCAGGTTTAATTTAGGGAACTGGAACACAGATACAATTCCCTAGATCAAGAGCCCCTCACCATATATGTAGTACTAATAATATTAATAATAATAATAATAATAATAATAACAATAATAACAATAATAATAATAATAATAATAATAATAATAATAACAATAACAATAATAATAATAATAATAATAATAATAATAATAACAATAACAATAATAATAATAATAATAACACTAAGGAGAAACTTCAAAAGGCTGCCAGTAGTTGGCGCCACCAGCAGCAAAACATTGGTAACCACTACTTTTCACCTGTCTAGACTTAAGTAGTCTTTAAGTATTAGTTTAAGTATGCCTGAAATGCCTCGGCATGATAGTGGCTTTCTTTGCTCCAATCGTATTATGATATGTAAACACACATTGTAACCTTTGCAAAGAAATAAATAACTTATTTATTTATTTATTTATTTAAGGAACCTCCCTTGAGGGGTAAGTACGCATCCTGAAAAGTTCGCATTGTGAGGCTTTCATAAGCCGAGGTTCCACTGTATTATTTTACTTTTATTCCTTTTCTTTTATTTTTTAATATTTTATTTTTTCAATTAACTTTCGTGGCCTCTGAGACCAATATAATGCATAATGTATATATATCCACTCATTGTATGCAACACAACTGCACAAACATTATCATTATATTGTTTACAAAACTTGTTTACACAAACCAACAATAAAAATGTTGTTTATTACTATTGCTATATATATATATATATATATATATATATATATATATTATATATAATATATATTATATATATATATATATATATATATATATATATATATATATATATATATATAATATATATATATATATAAATATATATATATATTTATATATATATTATATATATATATATATATATATAAAATATATATATATATATATATATATATATATATATATATATATATTAAACCAACACTCTTATATGGATGTGAAGCTTGGGTGGTAAATGCAGCAGCGAGGAGAGGGGTGGAGGCAGTGGAGATGTCCTGTTTAAGGGCAATGTGTGGTGAAAATATTATGCAGAAAATTCGGAGTGTGGAAATTGGAAAAGGTTGGAGTTTAATAAAAGCATTAGTCAGAGGGCAGAAGAGGGGTTGTTGAGGTGGTTTGGTCATTTAGAGAGAATGGATCAAAGTAAAATTTGACATGGAAAGCATAAAAAATCTATAGGGGAAAGGGAAAAGGGAGGGGTAGGGGGTCTTTCTCGAAAGGGTTGGAAAGAGGGGGTTAAAGGAGGTTTTGTGGGCGAGGAGCTTGGACTTCCAGCAAGCGGCATGAGCGTGTTAGATAGGAGTGAATGGAGACGAATGTTTACTTGGGACCTGACGATCTGTTGGAGTGTGAGCAGGGTAATTTTAGTGAAGGGATTCAGGGAAAACCGGTTATTTTCATATAGTCGGACTTGAGTCCTGGAAATGGGAAGTACAATGCCTGCACTTTAAAGGAGGGGTTTGGGATATTGGCAGTTTGGAGGGATATGTTGTGTATCTTTATACGTATATGCTTCTAAACTGTTGTATTCTGAGCACCTCTGCAAAAGCAGTGATAATGTGTGAGTGTGGTGAAAGTGTTGAATGATGATGAAAGTATTTTCTTTTTGGGGATTTTCTTTCTTTTTTGGGTCACCCTGCCTCGGTGGGAGACGACCGACTTGTTGAAAAAAAAAAAAAAATATATATATATATATAGTCACTGGACACATTCCTATAAGTGCTGCAGCTTGTGAAACTCTTTAAAACATGGTGCCATGCACAGTGGTGTTTTACACTCCTCACACATAAAACAAGTGTCTGTGTTTTTGTGGGTGTTTTGTAGTATGTGCACAGACAAAACCCCTCTTCTGAGCAAATTTCTTCTTAGTAGGAGGCAGGAATATTAGGTAGTGATCACCAGGTCTCAAACGAGTGGGTATTTGGTGATAAGTTCGTAGGCAGTTTTCTATTGCAGGTGTTGTTACTTGGTACTTGAATATTATCTGTCTAATGATAAACAAAATTCACCATATGGTGGTTTGTTTCTGGTCCCCCTCTTATGCATATTATAAGCACTAAGCATGGAAATGCTCATAATATGGAAAAAGAGTTTCATGTACCACTTATAACTCTTGCGAACACTATCAGCAAACCCAAGTTGCATGTCACATTTGTCCACTGAATGCATATTGAGAGTGTAGTTCATCACAGCTGCAGGTTTTAGAATGGGTTCATTGGTCTCTCTATTCTGCCTGCCACTGTCATTTCATTTCAGTGAACTGATGTCAACAGTGTGGCATCTCGTTTGTCATGCCACCGAAATGCCACGACGTCAATGGCAGCAAACACCTGCACCTCACCTGTATGAGTGCCTGCATCAAACCTAGGCATATGCTTACAATTTGCACATACTGTACCGCACACATCTGTCATGTTCACTTGCAAAAAATCACTAAGGGACTTGTGTACCAGTTATCAGTATATAATGTATGCTCCTAACCAAGATATGGTTTCATTATTGTTCTAACAACATCACCAGAGATACCCAATAACTTTCTGGTATCTTGCAATGTATTACTTCCAGTGTACACAATAATATCCAACACAAGACCACTGTGGCAATCACAAAGTACAAACAACTTTATACCAAAGCATTTCCTCTTGCTTCATATATACTCCTTGAACAACAGTCTACCTTTGAACAAAATCAAAGATTCATCAATAACAAGCTTCCTCAAGGGATAAAAATACATAGAGAACTTTTGTTTCGGATACATAAACACATTCCTAATCTTATGTAACCTGTCATTTCTGTCAGGCCTTGTTTTGTCTGAGAAGTGAAGCATACGTAACAGTAGCAGAAATCGATTCTTGTAATTTTGCAACTAATCTTTGCGTTAATCAATTCCTAGACAGTTGACAGATGTCCTAAAGCCTAATGGATGACATTTTTGTATTTGTGGTTTGTGGGGGAAGGGGGCATACATTAATGACAAGCATTGTATGCTAGGCTCATCTTGGAGTTGGCAGCACCAGTATGGAACCCACAACTAAAGAAGCATGTTAAGAAACTGGAGAAACTGTAGAAGTATGCAATGAGACTAGTTCCAGAGCTAAAGGGTATGAGCTACAAAAAAAAAAAAAAAAAAAAAATGCTAAAGGAATTGAATCTATAAATCCTGGAGGACAGAAGAACCATGGGAGATATGTTAATAACATACAAAATACCCAGAGGAACTGAGAAGGCAGACAGGAACAGGGTGCTTGAGAGACCACAAACAGGTACTCTGGGGCAGAGCTGGAAGTTAAAGACACAGACAAATCACAGGGATGTTAGGTAGTACAGTGGACCCCCGCCTTACAATGGCATCGCGTTACGTTAAATCCGCCATACGATACATTTGAACGCAAAAAATTTTGCCTCGCCTCAAGCTAAAAAACTCCTCATGCAATTCGTCCGGGATGCGTCCCACATGTGGCCTCAGCATCAGTGTTCACAAGCCAGCCAGTGCGGTCGCATCCACGCATACATTCGGTACATTTCACCTTATCCCAGTGTTTTTTGTGATAGTAACTGCAAAATAAGTCACCATGGGCCCCAAGAAAGCTTCTAGTGCCAACCCTGTGGTAAAAAGGGTGAGAATTAGTATGGAAATTAAGAAAGATTTTGAAGGGTTTGGGGGTAACCTTGAGAAACCTATGCCAGTTGTGGAATTCATTGTGCCTACTTCAAAGATTAAGGAAATGTGTGCAAAGTGGGTTGAACTGCAAACCTTTATGGATGAAAATCACCATAACACAGCTATTGCAAGCCGTGCTGGTGACTATTACAATGACAATGTTGTGGCCCATTTTTGGCAAATCTTAAAGGAACGGGAGGTACAGACCTCTATGGACAGATTTGTTGTGCGACAGAGGTCCAGTGACTCTCAAGCTGGTCCTAGTGGCATTAAAAGAAGAAGGGAAGTAACCCCGGAATAGGACTTGCTACCTCAAGTCCTAATGGAAGGGGATTGCCCTTCTAAACAATAACTTCCACACTCTCCCCTCCTCCCATCCCATCAATCATCATCAGATCTTCAATAAAGGTAAGTGTCATGTATTCTATTCTTAGTAGAATAGTAACTTTGCATGTCTTCAGTTTGTGTGTATTAAAATTAATATTTCATGTGGTAAAAAAAATTTTTTTCATACTTTGGGGTGTCTTGCATGGATTAATTTGATTTCCATTATTTCTTATGGGGAAAATTAATTCGATTACGATAATTTCGACTTACAATGAGCTCTCAGGAACGGATTAATATCGTAAGGTGGGGTCCACTGTATTTCTTCAGTCTCAGGAAGGTTTAGAAGTAGAATGACCTTGATAAAGAAGTGACAGAAGTAGACTCCATACATAGTTTCAAAAGTAGGTAAAATAGGGTGCATGAGGCTGGGAGAATAAATATGGCAAGAAAGTTGAGAGGCAGGGTCAAGAGCTAAGAATCAATCCCTGCAACCATAAAATGGCAAACACACAAGCAAGTAAACACAACACACACAATGCAACACAACACACACACATATATTAATAATGTGTGGCAATTAAAAAACTAAATAGAGCTCAGTATTAAAAATAATTTCAATGAATTAAATACTACCTACTTCCATATTCTGGGGCTATGAAGTGCATGTTCTTCATGTCATCTCTGCAGGTTTTGACGTGGGAGTGTATCTGATCCGGTGCCACTGCAAAATAGGACCTTTGTCAGTTTTTCCTTCCTTCCGTGACTTGAGAAGCGCAACCCTCAGTGTTCGGTGAGCTGTTGATGTATCAGAACACACCCTAGTTGTCTAAGGGGAAACATTTGCCCAGACTTACCAATGTGGGTGTCCTGTTCCAAGCAACCAGGATGCACTGAGGCCACCCCCAGCTTACCGCCCCCCCATCAGCCAGACTCAATCACAGCCACGCTCACATTCCCCTGGTTAGTCCCTGTGTGAACGATGCTGTGACGCAGAATGCTGATGACTAAACAGCACTGCAAATCTGCAGATGCTGTTATGGGATAAATCAAGTGACGGACAAATGAGGGACATAACTACACTCATGGACTCTGGGTCACACCCTTGACAATGACATTACATGCATGACAATTCTGCCAGAACAAGCAAAACCCAAACACAAAGTCCCAAGTCACATCACAGCTTTTATGTAATATACTCTCAAGTTTCAACTTCGGGTAGCACCCATCTCAAGCCACTATTTTCTTGAGAAAATAATCCTTACTGTCTAGTACCTTAAAACTACATCAACCAAAAAGTATTTGGTAAATAACTTTACCTGAGCCAATCTTGACGAGGCCGTTGTGCTGGATAAATATGGTGTCGGTGGTGAGGTTGCCGTGGATGATAGGGGGGGAGCACGAATGCAAGTAACTGTAACAAATATAATAGTGAATGGTAATAGGCCTCCCAGGTAGGCTTTTGCAGCAGATCCATCATAGCCTTGCCTGGGAGACACTCCACATCACCCACTCATTGTCCCAACTATGGTCAGGCTCACACAATGTGCCCTGCAGTAGTTCATGGTTAATAACAGCACACACCACCTGACCCCTGTGATCAGGCAATGACCGGCCTGAAGAGAGGCCAACAACACAGCGTGTGAGACACCAGAGTGAGGACTGACATGGTGGGTGAGGGAAACTCCTGGCCTCGCACGCCACAGGACTCCTCCTCCTCCTCCTGTGGCCCCGCCAGCTCATGGGCTGCTGGCCTGCCAGACTGCCGGGGCCACACAGCCTCTGTTACCAGGGAGAAACTTGGAGGAAAACTCAAACTGGGTTAATGATACGAGGGAATGAGTCCTGCATGTGCCAGAGGACTTGTATTAAGGGAAAGCTGCCGTAATGTATTAACTGTCGTTCTCAACAACAACAAATAAGAGAGAACTTAAAGATATTGTACAATAATGGCATCAGTTCAATATAAAATGAATACATATGTACATACAAGCATATTCAAAACAATATCTTGCAGCAATCTTTTCTATGAACAACATCCACTAATTCAGCTCGCACTCCAATCAATAAGTTCTACTCTTTTAGTTTAGGTTGAGGACTGTGTACATAACCTGGGGCCTTCAGTAACCAATGGTCAAGCCTGGTGACTATCTAGCTGCTAGCCTGAGCCAGGAGAGTAGTGTGTCACAGTAACATACCTGAGAGCTGAGAGGATCTGTGTGCACCAGCGTTTCCAAGACTGTAGTGGTAGCTTCTTTACATTTTTTTTGGTTAACTTCAGAAATTTTTTGAGTGACCCTGAAGACATATATTCTGTTATGAAGACAACCTGAAATGAAAATATCATAAGCATAGCAGTTGAAAAGGAACAAAAAATTAAGGCCTGTAATCCCTCAGTATCCACGAGTTTGCATCTCTGAAGTCTCCTAATCAATGAACATTGTTATACTGCATATTCTACTGCCCATGACCCATGAACTAAGTTTGTATATCAGGGGATAATGATGTTCACTTCACCTAAAATTCATCTAGCAACTCTTCTCTCTGTAACATCTGGATGCTGTACAGTGCTTCCATGTACCATTTCTGATGCACTTGCTATTAATGAAAAATATCAACTGAACGAAGCATCACAGAAAAAACAAATTTAGAATTATGTTTGCATATTTATGTAGGCAGGATACATAGTTTATTTCCCTACTTCTTTGGGCCAAATGTCTAATTTAAAAAAATTGAAGTTTACAAAGCACCCAAATTTGTGAATTGAGGCAGGCAACACCCATGATGGATATCTGGACTACTATTGTATGTATTTTAGTTCAAATGCTGACAACTCCAGGATTCACTGTTCCCATGGTGCAGTCCCAGAAGTTACCCAGTTGATGACTCAATCAAAAAGGCTGTTGGCACTAGTTGCATGCAGTCCACCATATGCACTACAATCTGGCTGATAGGGAACTACTTTGAGGAATTTATCAGGTTCTCTCTTAAAGACAGCTAGGGGTCAGTAAATTCCCTTTGTTGTAACATTTGCTATAATCGTCCATTTTAATCATCTTAAATTGAAATCTCCAAATAGCAGCATGTTTGGGAGCAAGTCTGAAAGACTTGCAAGGCAGTACAGGTCGGCCATCACTAATCCAGCAATCAGTTATCCGGTTCCATCAGTAATCCGGCACTAATTTCGGCTAGCATAATTTCAAATTTCATCATAATACTAACTTAAATCGTTACACTGACTCAAATTTCATCATTATACTGACTCAGAAATTGTGCAGATGGTTGTAAATCCATAGCAGTGATGAAAATGACGAAGATGTAGCAGAAAGAGTCTCTACTGATAGGTTAAGTAAGTGAATTCTAACCTAACCACTCTGTAATCCAGCAAACTCACTAATCCGGCACACTACAGGTCCCAATGATGCCGGATTAGTGATGGCCAACCTGTATTCTATTTTAAATAGGTGATCTTCAACCTGCTGGGAACTTTTATCTAGTTATTTATATAAAACAATAATAAATTTTATTTTTACTGCCAAAACTTAGATTACATGCATTATTTGTGGTATTAAGTAGCTCAGTGCAAATGCAGACCAACTCTTCCTCACAGTCTGCTTTTCTAGTTGCATCTCTATGGATTGTACCCAGGTACAGTATCCTCACTTCACTATCAAAGTAATCTTTAATATGGGTCTATGAAAGCTACACACATTGCATTTGCCTCTGATTTCTACTGTTTAATTTGATAGTTTCCTTCATGGTCTCTTGTGACCAATGATTTATTTTATTCTGACTGTGTTAGATAGGTCACAGGGAGTTCAAAAAGTTTGTTCCTTATTCTTGCATCAATACAGTATATAGTATTCAGCATCCACAAATTTACCATGTGCGAGTTTTTCTAGGCATGCATCCCTCAAGAATACTGGGAGATTACAGTAAGTCTATTCCTACACTTAAGTACTGTACTCTCAAAATATTTTTTTAATATAAACTGCATATTTTCATAAACTGCATTTTGTTTGTAAAATAATAAATAAAATGATACAAATGTTATGACAAATATATTACTTCTACCACTGTTATTTCTGCATAACAATGACAATACTGGACCACTTTAATAATATACAACCAACTATGCACAACTAACTACAATATTACCTGTTAATAACAAATTAAAGAAAATATATAAATACTACACTGTACTGTACAGTGTAAACTGTTATGTCTCAATATTAACCATCACCCTACATTATATGATATTCTTAGAATCTACAATACAGTGGTACCCCGAATTTCAGCCATAATTCGTTCCAAAATGCTGTTCGAGTGCCATTACCGAATGAATTTGTTCCCATATGGAATAATATAAATTAGATTAGTCCGTTTCAGACCCCAAAAATACACTTACAAAAGCACTTACAAAGATACACTTACATAACTGTCTGAGTTGGGAGTTGCTCAAAATTCGAGGTACCACTGTATCTGGAAAGAAACTAACTACTGCAAGTTTATTTTTGTCCAGTCAACATGAATGTAACTAATGTCATGTGGGTTTTAGCAAGAAAAATTATTGCATCCCTTAACCCTTTGACTGTCGCAGGCCCCTTTCTGAAACTGTCATTCTATGTCGCAAAATATTCAAAAAAAAAAAAAAAATTCTTATGAAAATGTTAGGATTATTTTACTGAGTGTTTTAAGCCTAAAAATTTTTTTTTGCCATCAGTACTTACTGAGATATAGAGCCGAAAAGTTGGCAGAAAGTGAGGTGCGTACGGCAACAGCGGCGACTGCCGCCCACCCAGTATTCTTTTATTTACTCTAATTCAAAAGTTTCTTGTATTTCCCAATATTTTTCTTTTCCAAGTAACTTATGTGGCCTATGAGACCAATATAAGGTGCATTGCTCAAATATACACTCATTGTTTACAACACAATAACTGAACAAACTTTATCACTATTAGTTTGTGTATAAAATTTGTTTACACAAACAAACAATACAAAACAATGTTTATTACTATTGTTCCATAATATATATACATATGTACAGTCACTGAACACATTCCTAGAACTGCTGCAGCTTGTGGAACTCTTTGAATCATGGGTATATGCAGAGTGGTACTTGACACTCCTCACACATAAAATGAGTGTCTCTGCGTGTTTGTGGGCGTTTTGTGGTACGTGTACATACATAACACCTCTTCTGAGCATTTTTCTTGGCAGCAGTAGGAAGCAGTTGTATGGGGTAGTGATCACCAGGCCTGAAACGAGATGGCATGCGTTGGTAATTTCGTGGGCACTGGTCTATTGCAGGTGTTGCTCCTTGGTACTCTGCGATTATTTGTCTGATTACTGACAAACAAAATTCACCATATTTTGGCGCTTTGTTGGTCCTCAACTTGTATATGTTACAAGCATTTAGCATGGAGATATCAACAAGATGGAAAAAAAGTTTTACATACCACTTACAACTCTTGCGTACACAATCAGCAAACCCAATCTGCATGTCACATTTGTCCACTAAGCGCATATTGAGGTTGTAGTCCATGACAGCTGCAGGCTTTAGAATGGGTTCATTGGTCTCTCTGTTGTGCCTGCCACTGTGTGCCATTTCGTTTCGGTGAACTGATGTCAACAATGTGACATCACGTTTGTCATGCCACCGAAATGCCATGATGTCATTGGCAGGAAAGGCTTGCACCTCACCTCTGCAAGTGCCAGTGTTGAACCTTGGCATATGTTTACGATTACCACGCACTGTGCCACACACATCTGTCAAGTTCACTTGCAAGAAATCACTGAGTAAGGGGCTTGTGTACCAGTTATCAGTAAAGAACATATGCCCCTTACCAAGATATGGTTCCATCATTGTTATAACGACATCACCAGAGATACTCAATAACTTCATGGTATCTCTCAAGTATTACTGCCAGTGTACACAATGATAACCAAAACTAGACCACTTCTGCAATCACACAGTACAAATAACTTTATACAAAAGCGTTTCCTCTTGCTTGGTATATATTGCTTGAATGAGAGTCTTCCTTTGAATAAAATCAAGGACTCGTCAATAACAAGCTTCTTGAAGGGATAAAAATACATGCAGCACTTCTGTTTCATGTACATAAACACATTTCAGATCTTATATAACCTGTCGGCTCTGTCAGGCCTGGTTTTGTCTGAAAAGTGTAACATACGTAACAGTATCAAGAAACGATTGACACCTATACAGTGGACCCCCGCATACCGTTGGCATCACATAACGATTAATCCGCATACCGCTTGCTTTAATCGCAAAAATTTTGCCTCGCATACCGCTTAAAAACCCGCTCACCGATGTTCGTCCGAGACGCGTCCAATGTGCGCCCTCAGCCAGCCTCACATGTGCCGCCCGTGCCATTGTTTACCAGCCAGCCTCCGCGGTAACATCCAAGCATACAATCGGAATATTTCGTATTATTACAGTGTTTTCGGTGCTTTATCTGGAAAATAAGTGACCATGGGCCCCAAGAAAGCTTCTAGTGCCAATCCTACAGCAATAAGGGTGAGAATTCCAATAGAAATGAAGAAAGAGATCATTGATAAGTATGAAAGTGGAGTGCATATCGCCGACCTGGCCAGGTTGTACAAGAAACCCCAATCAACCATCACTACTATTGTGGGCACCAGAAAGGCAATCAAGGAAGCTGTTCTTGCCAAAGGTTTAACTGTGTTTTCGAAACAAAGATCGCAAGTGATGGAAGATGTTGAGAGACTCTTATTGGTGTGGATAAATGAAAAACAGCTAGCAGGAGATAGCGTCTCTCAAGCGATCATAATCGAAAAGGCTAGGAAGTTGCATGAGGATTTAATTAAAAAAAATGCCTGCAACTAGTGCTGATGTGAGTGAATTTAAGGCCAGCAAAGGTTGGTTTGAGAGATTTAAGAAGCGTAGTGGCATACATAGTGTGATAAGGCATGGTGAGGCTGCCAGTTCGGACCACAAAACAGCTGAAAAATATGTGCAGGAATTCAAGAAGTACATAGACAGTGAAGGACTGAAACCTGAACAAGTGTTTAATTGTGATGAAACAGGCCTGTTTTGGAAGAAAATGCCAAGCAGGACCTATATTACTCAGGAGGAAAAGGCACTCCCAGGACATAAGCCTATGAAAGACAGGCTTACTTTGTTGATGTGTTCCAATGCTACTGGTGATTGCAAAGTGAAGCCTTTATTAGTGTATCACTCTGAAACTCCCAGACCGTTCAGGCAAAAGAATGTCCTCAAGGAGAATTTGTGTGTGCTGTGGAGGGCAAACAGTAAGGCATGGGTCACTAGGGACTTTTTCTATG